ACAGAAGGGTATGTTATAGTTGTACGGTGTCGGCGCGTGGTTTACGTGACGCACGAGTGGCTCCGTTAAATAGAACACGAGGGCGGAGCCCGAGTGTTCTATATATTGAACGGAGCCACGAGTGCGTCACGTAAACCACAAGCATTAATTACGACATCGTACAAATGGCTTGTATGATGGCTTCCGTATGTGGGCAACCCCACCGGCTTTACCTAGTCCGCGCGAGAAAGCGCGCAAGAATGCCCCGGCCCGGCGCCGCCCTCTCTAGCTCTGCATGCAACCACCCCGAAAGCGCTAGCGGGCGCGCGACATCTTCCGGCTCTTCGGATCAGTCGTCTCCAGTGTTGCTGAGTAGCGTTGACGTGACTAGACCCGTAAGTACTTCGTCGTTTCTAGCTGGGAATGTTCTATCTGCCATAGACTATAGTGAACGCTTCACCCTACGTTCATCCTGTATGTTCTATCTTCTATAGAATATTGTACACTGTCATAACTCTGGTTTACACACAATCTGATAAGAAAGGCGTGATAGACCTCGCATTCCAGCTTTGATCCACCCACGCAAGTATCATACAACCAGTAATAAACCTCGCTTTGTGTATTGGTTCTGAGCAGAGAGAGTAGTTATCTGAATTGCATGATTCCTAACATTGACCTCTCATCATGCACAGAGTAGTGCTTCCTTGGGCGCTTATCATTGAGCCCTGACAAACATGTTGTGAATATTGTTATCTACCATGGATATTCGATATACATGTTGTGAATATTGTTTTCTACTACTGGCAGTCACCTTTGGAATGTTATTATAGCTAACTGCTAGAACTTGAAGGCAATGCATTTTTGGCAAGCAAATGTGAGTAGTTCAATTTTTTCACATACTATTCGGAATGACGTAAAACATTACGGTATGTGCGGCAGCAGTTCCCCCTGCATTGAGACAATTACGTCAGCATGCAGCGGTTCCCGCAACCTGCTTTTTGTCTACGCCAAGAATGATGCTTACAACGAAGCAATGGTACGTTGAAGAGAACGGATGTTTGGTCTGTTCAACCTGCTGACCACTAAAATGGTACCGACTCCACATTCATGACCAAATATGGTCCAAAAACATGCTCTATTGATGACCTATGCCTTTTGAGTGTGTCTGAGAGTATTAGCTACTATGACATACTATATAGTAGAGAACAATACCCCAGTACATGCATGACTACAAAAACCTTTCATGGCCTGTTGAACTATAGCTGACATGAGTACATAACTTACCAGAGTATGTAGATTTGACTATACGTACGTACCAGCCCTTTTCCTAGTTCCTTCACCGATTCCTACCCCCCCAGACCCAGTGTCGGGTGTGTATCAGCTGAAGAAAGAAATAAAAAAGCTTCCCTACCGAGAATCATAATCATGCACAGTTCAAACCAGGCCAAAACAGGGTTCATTACTAGAATTGGCGTGTTTACAGTGTGTTGGTACAGGAAAACAATGGGTGAAGCATGACTTCCTAGGCTTTTTGTTGAGATTCAGTGGCTATGCACCACCGATGCTCGTTATGACTGAAACTTGAAAGCTAGCTCTGAATTTTTGATAGATAGGTTCCCCATGTACAAGATCACACTGTACGTGGTACATAATACTTCAAAGAGTTCTTTTCTGGTTCATTGGGTTCCTTTTGTTCCTGTGGGTTCCTCTAGTTCCTCTTATTCCTGAAGATCCCTGGTGATGCCCCAGGCACCTGGGGAGCTTCGGGATCTTCAGGAACCACAGAGAAACAGTGTGATCTTTTCGTGATAGCTTACATGGGGAATCTACCTGTATAAATGTACTGTGGTGGTAGGCGGGTTAAAATGTGTTGTTGTCTCTTGTGTATAGGACGAGGACGAGCGCTAGCTCCTCCAGCCATGGCCTCCCTTCGCCCCTCGTCTCATGACTTCCACGACAAGAAATGTGAGCTAATTCCCTTCTCTACTTCTTTCTACTATTTTTAGTAGATAGGTTATGAACTAAATATACCAACCAAATAAGGAAGTGCATAAACTATAATTTCCGCCCACGGAACTGTTTCGTGAGAAAGAGGTTAAATTGTGTTTTGCTGTGTTGTAGTGGGCAAGGGGTTAATTTGATAGCATAGTAGTTGAGGGATTAAAGAGAGAATGTTAAATGTCCAGTGGTTATCTCTGGTGTGTAGATATGATGTTCACCAGAAACAATGTCCAGAGAGCTGTCAGGAACGTGGGCGTAACTGATCGTCTGGGGATCTGGTTGGGTGTCCATGAGAGGAGACGGAGGGAAATTCAGAGTCAGTTCAGAGGAGATGAGGGACAACAGGTGGAGGAATATGTCACCTACTTCATGGACCACGACCCACTAGCCTCCTGGAGACCAGTTATTGTTGTTCTTGATCAGATGAAATTGTATGGAGAGAAAGAGGGTGCAGATAAGATACGACATCTGGCGGAGTCTGTCACAGGTGAGGACAGGTGTAGCTAGAGACTGTGTGTGAGTGTTGACTGTTGTTTCAAGTCCTTATAACTAGAGACATGGGAGCACTGCATGTCTCCTACAGTTGTCCTCTTGTTCATGTTCCTCCATTGATGAGAGATGATGTTGTATCTGACTTGGTTTCTGATGTGTGTATTGCCATGTTATGTCCTACTCTCTGTGCAGACCCCACACTCACTATCAACAACCTCCGTCATGTCACCTCTTCAGTCCAGGACTGGGATAATCTGGGGGACTATTATTATGGTCTTGGTGTTCCTCATCCTGTGCGGGATGAGATCAAGAAGGATCCTGCCCTGACAGAAGAGGAAAAGAAAACAAAGGTCCTACTCTACTTCCTCCATAATGTCCCGATGGCCTCCTGGGAGAGAGTTGCAGGAGCACTATACTACATGAAGGAGGAGAGGGCATTACAGGCAGTGAAGGAGTTCCTGCCAGACCCACCAGGTCAGTCTGCTGTGTTATTCTATTCTTTATATATTGTATCAACAGCTATTCTACTGTTGACATTGCTTGTTTATCCTGTTGTGTTCCCAGAGGCCAGTCTCACTCCAGAGAACCTCTCCACAGTTTTAGACATCATGAGTGACTGTCTGTGGAGGGAGTTTGGTGGATATGCCAACATACCAGACTCTGAGATAGACAGGATCAAGGCACAGTGTACCAGTGACAGAGAGTGCAAACAGGCCCTCATTCACTCCTTCGTATCCTCACATCCAGCACCATCATGGACTCTGGTGGCATGGGCTCTCTACATGACTGAGCGGGACAAGGGTGACGGCAGTAGTCTCAGAGCATTGGATCACCTGCAGCAGCTGTTCCCCACTGGTACAGTGGACTTTCTTGGTTGGTTGACACTCCCTTCAACATGTGCACTTTACTCCCATGCAGGAAGATTCCGTTCCAAACAGATCTACGAGCAGGAGATGAAACGAGGCCACATTGAGCTGGACCTGGACAAAATGCTGCTCTTTGGCACGGCTGGCAGTGGCAAGACGTGCTCCCTCGCTGCACTGCTCGGAGTGGACCCTCCCACCATCCGACACAGCACTCCAGTCATGAAAAGACCCATCGAGGTCGTGTTCGTGGACATCGACGGCAAAAAACAGTGGAAGAAACGAACATTAGACCAACTGCGAGACGTCGTCGCTGAAGTAATCAAGTCGCGAATGCCAAGGCAACAGGTAGTGGCACAGAGCAGTGGTGACACAAAGAAGACGAGTAGCTCCATGCTTGAAGCAGCAAGGAAGGGCACAGCATCCTCGGAGGAGAAGCCCAGCGCCAGGGAGCAGCAGGGGGCAGAAGGGATGCTGGATTCCCTGTTGCTGCAGTCGAGTGCGGTGGACGAGGGGTTTGTACATCTCATCAACAGTGCTCCTCCCTCCTTACTGCCCATCCTGCGACTGAAGCAGTTCCTCGTGCTGGACTCTGGCGGCCAGCCCGAGCTTCTGGAGATGATGCCCGTCTTCCTGAGGGGTGCATCCAAATTCGTCTACGTCTTGAAACTCCACGAGTCTCTAGACAAGCGAGCGACGATCCGTTACTTCAAAGACGGCAAGCTGGTGTGGGAGTACCCAGCCTACCTGACCAACGAAGGGACCCTGAGACTGTGCGTGCAGACCATGAGATCCCTTAACAACAAGAACCCAGACATCCCTCCCGCCAAAATGATGTTTCTGGCCACCCACCGAGACATGGTGGCAGACGAGCAGCTGCCCGGAGTGCTGGACACTCTGCACAAGAGCTGAGGGAGATCCTCTTGCCTCAGTTCAGGGAGCAGCTCATCTACTGTGATACGAAACGGGACGACTTTGTCTTCACACTGAATGCTGCAAAGCCGGAGAAGGAGGACAGGGAGAGTGCGGAGAGCATTCGGGAGTGTCTTAGTAAGGAGGGGGAGGGGGGAAGGGAGGTGAAAGTGCCGTTGCGATGGTACGCTCTGTACCAGAAGCTGCTGGAGGTGGCAAATGAACTGGGGAAGAAGGTGCTGCCTCAAGTGCTGTGCCAGATGGTTGCAGAGTCGATGGAGATCGATGACGAGTCGTGTGGGGAAGCCCTGAATTTCTTTGACAGTCTGAACATGCTGTTCTACTTCCCCGACATCCTGCCCCAGCTGGTGTTCATTGAGTCACAGATGTTGCTGGATAAGGTCTCGGAGCTGGTGGAAGAGACCTACCACATGAGGCAAGGAAAGAAGGGCGTGTCGGGGGAGAAGCTGAGGTTCCGTGACCACGGCGAAGTGACGGAAAAGTTTATGGGCGAGTTCGAGAGCCACTACGAGCCACCTCTGTTCACACCCAAGGAGCTGGTGACCCTGCTAAAGGGGTTGCTGGTGTTTGCGGAGATGTCGGAGGACGTGTACTTCATGCCGTGTCTGCTGCAAGTGGTGGTGTGGAAGGTGGTGGAGGAACACCGAGTGAGTGGCGGGAAAGCCCTGGCTCTTCACTTCCCCGACAGCCGTCCCTTGATGGGAACGTTCTGCTCCACTGTAGCTTACCTCCTTTCTCCCGAAAACAGTCACCCCTGCCGCTGGAGAGTGGCTCAGAACGAGGCAGGAGCTCCGAAATGCCTCCATCGCAACGTCATCCAGTTCACCGTTTCAGACTACGCAGGCACCGTTTCACTCATTGATCACTTCACCCACTTTGAACTCCACCTATGCACCCACCCCAAGAAAGCAGCTCAGCTGTGGAAACTGGCACACGACGCAGTGTTTGCAGGTCTCGAGAAAGCAGGGAAGACCATCGGCTACACAGACTACACTCCAGTCCCAGCTATCGTGTGCCCTGCCCACCCCCGTCCAGCCAAACCCCACCCTGCAGTCGTGACAGATGGCATCTGGGCATGCTCAGTCAACTCTGGAAAGTTTGGAGACGTTGACGAGGACTCTATTCCATGGCTGACGCTCTGCACATCTACCTGTGAGTGTGGAGGTCCACCCACTGAGGGCTCTAATTGGAACAGTCTCGTCATGCTTTTCTTTCTTTTCCCCTACAGCTGCTGAGTCAGCCACACCCTCTCCCTCCTCTTCATCTTCTACAGTTTCCCCTTCCTCACAGCCTCCCCTCTCTGTCACCACATCTCCTGGCTCCTCTACCACTGTCACCACTACTACCAACACTCCTAGTGAGTCCTCTATATGTATATGGACATGCAAACCACTATCTGTATATGTTATATGATGGCGGCGGCGCGTGGTCTACTGGTTGTACACGAGTGGCCAGTTTTGGTAGGGCACAAGGGCGCAGCCCGAGTGGTCTATCAAAACTGAGGCCACGAATGTGCAACCAGTAGACCACAAGCCAAAGCCATCGTATAACGTGTTTGTATGATGACATCCGGCGGTAAGACTCTGACCAGCGCAAAAGCTTTCATAACGCCCCCTTTAACGCACACCCTCGAGTGTACGGAGAGAGCTAGCAATCGATCGGGAGAGAGACAGCTGCAATAAGCGCTTTTGGCTTGGTGGTTATGCAGAAGCCATGGTCATTTCTCAAGAGTTCAACATTACAGGTACGTCAAAGCTATAGTTTTTCGCTGCTAGACCCCACACTAGTTTTGTAGCTGCCCTTCTGGCTCGCTTTCTCTCCCGCTACACCCAGCACTCTCGAATGCAGCCTGTCGCTGTAGCAAGAAAGCTGAAAGTCACCGAATACTGTTCCGGTCCACGGGAGCCTACGTGTCGGGAAGCAGCTTTCGCTAGTTTTCAGACCGCGTATCTATACACTAGAGCAGTTTCTGGCCATTCTAGCCTGAAAACACTCGTACTCCCTTCTGGTAAAGAAACAGCATCACACAAAGATTGTAAAAGCTCCCAATTGCATTCTGAAGTGGGGTTGATTGATAGGCCAGGAGAGCAAGGTCTTTCTCCTTTTCCAACAATCTTTTGACAGTGCCAACTGCTCGCTCAGCTTCTCCATTTCCCTGTGGGTAGTAGGGACTGCTGGTAACGTGTTTGAAACCGTATTCTTCGGCAAACCGTTTGTACGTTTCGGCTCGGAACTGCGGTCCATTGTCAGACACAACCACCTCTGGGATGCCATGTCTGGCAAAAATACTCTTTCTTCACCAATGTTTCCAGCTCTGCCGTTAACCCTGGCCACCATACTGACTGTCTGGCCATGTCGCGGCACTTGGTAATGCCCTGGTGTCCTGTGTGGATACGTTGGAGCATGTCCTGATGCAGCGATGTAGGAATGACGACTCTGCTCCCACGCATCAGAACTCCCTCAGCCACTGCTAGCTCACAACGCACCTTGTGGTATTGTCGAAGCTCCCTAGAGAGACTCTTCTTCTCTTGCCATCCCTCCATTGTGAATTCGACCAGTTGTTGACAGACAGGGTCTGCCTCCTGGCTTTGACGAATCTGGTTGATGCGCTCGTCTGTTGCTGGAAGAGTTTGCACCACCTGCTGAACATACGCTCCTGTGTCTTGTTGTAGCTCTTGGTCTCCTGTGGTCGGCTGTCCAGTCGGAGCTCTCGAGAGTTTGTCGGCGGTGACCAGATGCTTCCGTGCGAGATGCTGAAGTCATACCGCATCATTCTCAGACAGAATCTATGGGCAACTCATCAAGACGCTTGGTACTGAAGAGTGGGACGAGAGGCTTATGGTCTGTTTCGATGTGGAATCTCAGACCAATGAGGTGGGTGGAGAGATGTTCGCAGGCCCAAGTGAACGCGAGTGCTTCTTTCTCTATCTGAGCGTAACATTGCTCGGTGGGTGTCATAGAACGTGACACGTATGCCACAGGTTTCAGGTCACCCGATGGCTGTCTCTGGAGCAGGACAGCTCCTAGGCCAAACGAAGACGCGTCGGCTGATAGGATTGTTTCGAATGAAGGGTCGTAGAGCGATAGAATCGGGCTGGATGTCAGAAGATTCTTGAGTTCTTCGAAACTGCTCTGTAGTGCTGAATCCCACATCCAGGCGGCATCTTTCTAAAGTAGCTCACGAAGAGGTTTAGTTTTCTCGGCAAGGTTGGGAATGAATTTCCCCATCTGGTTAACCATTCTGAGAAAGCGATGGACGTCTCCAACGTTCTGTGGAGTTGCCACCTTCTGGATCGCAACGACTTTGTCGGAATCGGCTTTGACTCCTTCCTGGGTTAGGACTTGGCCCAGAAAAGGTAGCTGGCTACAGAAGAACTGGCACTTGTCGGCGTTGAGAGTCAGACCACTCTCCGGCAGTTGCTGGAGAACCTTGTCGAGTCGTTCGTCATGCTGCTCCTGGGTTTCTCCGTAGATCAGGGTATTCTCCATTAAGCAGATGACTCCCTCCAGATTGGCTAGCATCTCGGACATTCTCCGTTGAGAGTGCTCTGGGGCTGATGTAATCCCGAACGGCAGACGACGGAAACAGTAGCTACCATGAATGGAGTGATGAAAGTGGTGAGGTCGTGTGAGCGGGGAGAGAGTGGGATCTGCCAAAACCCGGAATTGGCATCGAGCTTCGAAAACACCTTAACTGGGCAAAGGTCTGTTGCACGGCTGACAGGATGTGTCGCTCTCGGCAGATGTTCTCATTGAGTCTGGTTATAGGTCCACGCAGATTCTCACACGGCCCCCTTTCTTGCCATACCCGAGCACCACTCAGTCGGCTTTGTAACCTTCGCAATTACCCCCTGCTTCTCCATTCTGTCCAGTTCGGACTTCACGGCTTTCATCAGCGGTATCGGAACTCGTCTTGGTGTGTCAAGGGAGTAAGGTATAGCGCCAGGCTTGAGTGAGATATGGTAGTCTCCACCCAGCTTTCCGAGTCCTTGGAAGAGGTTGGGGAACTTCTCCTTTGGAGTCTTCTCGTCTGAAACAATCCGAATCAGAATCTCAAGACTCTCGATTGCGGGACATCCGAGGAGAGGGACATGGAGTTTCTTGACGACGTAGAGCTTTTGGCTGCACGTTTTCTGGGAGTAATTGAGTTCAGGCACCTTGCATAATTATATGCACTGAAAAGTTTTGTGGATAGAGTTCACCCTATGTTTAGATCATTACACTGCCCCTTATAATAGCACCAAATGCACTCTGATTATTGGTGAATGGGAGTCAGCCAAACTAGTCATCAAAACACACTGATATTTAGACACCTGTGGCATGAGTGTGAACTCACAGAGAAGAGAGTTGAAATAGAGATAGTGATCGAGGCACATTATTATGAAATACTTAGTGACCTCAGTTGTCAACTGAGGTCACTATTTCATCATCCGTGACTGAGCGCAAGAAATCTGAAACGAGTTGACGAACACAGCCACTTGTTTCAGCCTGTGAGACTATTATGTCCGCTGCCGTGAGTGACACAGACAGTAAGTTGCTTGTGCTTAACACACGCTCCTGTAGTTCTTTAAAGCTGTCGGTGTATCCTATGTTGCTTACCCACCAGAAATATAGAACCTTGTAAGCATTACACCACTGCATAAGGTTGATAACTCTAGTGGGCAGTCCATAGTTTGGCAGAGAGTTCAGTTGGCTGCCGTATCTCAAAAGCTGCTCTGTGTGCAAGTGTGTGTCCTTGCTCTCCCTTCTTCTGTTGATGCTCCTACTCTCCCACAGCCCAGAGGTCCATGCCATGGCTAGCTGATCGTAAGAAGACTGTGAAGTGTAAATGACAGCTCCTTGCTCTGTTATTTCTACACTGAATGAAAAGCACTTGAAAGCCTCGCCATTTTATTCTTTATTTCAGCAGTTAACCCGCTTCACAGTTATTAAACCCCCACAGCATTACCACTATTGGTAGTTATATTTGGTACATGATGGCGGGGCTGTGTCAGCACGCCGCAGAGCCGCTGATAACCCCTCCCGCCGCATAATTGAAGGGATCTTCTGATACCCTTGCCGCCACCACACTAAAGGGGGGTAGTTACACCACTCCCTTGCCGCCAACCCTAACAGGAGGGGTATGACCAGCTCATTTCTTCCCCATAACCCCGCCATCTGTAAACTTCACTGATGTGATGCTGGGGAACCCCCGACACAGCCCTTAACCATTGTCCCATCCTTATGGGATGGAATATAATTATTACGTCTATGGCTATTCCTTAGCTAACAGTCTGGGTTGGGTTGGGTGGGAGATTGGCTCTACCAGGTCCCTTGTGCGTGGCGGACCTGGACAAAGTGAAAAGCACTTGACAGTACATAACCCTCACCACTTTATTCTTCATTTCAGCTACTAGCTACACTACATAAGTGACTCCTTCACTGAACGGATTCACTGGGGCGTGTGCTGCTCTCACTTCACCGGCAATCTCGCTCCTACTTAACTGTACCATCAATACAGGCAGACTAGCAAATCTTTTCCACACGCGCAAAGCATTCTCGTTCGCTCACATCGGCAGCCGTCAGTTTCACCAGCTTTCCCGGCCTTCTCTACTCCAGAATCTTATTTTACTATGCATGCCTCCTACTTGATAATATGTCCACGTTTCACGCTCGGAGTTGCCACAGTTACCGAGAAAAACGGTGGACAGATGGACGGACACACGACGTACACACACACACACACACACTATATTCATAGCCTAGTGTCATAGTGTACATAGTAGCTACTTTATGACATCACTAGTAAAAACAAGCAGCTTATATATAGCTAGGCAAACCTGCTTGGTTTCAGTCAGGCACAGAGTGTGAGACAAGCTGCAAGCCCCAAGTAAAGTATGTTACTTAATACTAATGTAACTGTAATCTAGTTAGGATAACATAATAATGTAGCATAGCATAAATATACATTACCCATGTGTATAATACTTGTGGAAAGTAGTGGCACATGACTATTAAGTAGTTCAGTTTGCAAAAAGAGACTCTGGACTCCAAGCAGGCGGAGTGGCCTCGCCCCTTCCGGAATGTGCAGCATGTCGGGAGTTTAAAGGGGCCGAAACATGCTGTACATGATGAAGGAATGGGAGCTCCCCTGATGACCAGAAAATAAATTATTTATAGTCTCTCTCTACCACGTTACTGTTTCCAAGCAAGCCTGCCAGGTCTGTGGTTAGAATTACATGTAATTTTACGGACACCTGGACAGTTGCATGCTATGACGCTGACAAAAGCTGCCCACGCTCTCCCCAGTTAACTCTTTCTTAAATTCCCTTCCCCTTTCTCGTTGATATCCATACTCAACACACACAGACCGACTGCAATAACCCTCGCTGCGCATGCGCGCAGGCGAGGGTTAATAAGCACATGTGGGCACCCTATGCTTCACATTATTGTGTCACCCCCACTCACCAAAAATGCACAGCATTTACCTAGTAGCAATAGTATAGTACTAGTGGAAATGTTGAACGTTGTTGGCGAGCGGGAGCGACCCAACTTGGGATTTTCCCGCGATGTTAGGGCTGCATAACGTGCCGTCAGCGCACAGCTTTCCTTTCGTGAAGCAAGACAGATCTACCTGTCGCCGTTAGATGCGTACTGTATATTGCCAGAACGGTGAGCAGGTGAGCAGAACGGTACTTACCTTATGCTTTCAGCTCGTCAGTCGTGGTCCGCCAGGCAGCTTACATGCAGCAGTATCTGCACAAGCAACCTTAGCTTATTTCCAAGTTGCACTTCGAACCATGAAGATTGGGAAGAGGTAGAGCCTCGGTCAGTCACCGAAGATTTCAGCGTATGCCGTCGAATGGAAGAGAGTTCTCTCGCTGGCTAGAAGGATCTGTGCATATCGCGAGGTATGAAGTGTGTGAAAGTGTGTAAAAAAATTTGGAAATGATTTCGGATAAAAATAAACGCGTAATGAAGCCGCGCATGCACACTTACATGACATACGCGGTCGTCGGTCAAATCGGCCCATTGCGACGACTAGGTTGGCTCGCTCCCGCTCGCCAATCACCATCTATCATGTTTTTCTCTATTACCAAAGATACCATTGAAAGAGAGATGTTGCAAATGGAAGGAACATTTAAGCAAAAGAATTTGGTAGTAGTTATCACTGGTCTAATGGAGGCTGGTAAAACCACACTTCTGCACCAATTGTTTGGTGAAGATCTCCCCTTGCACTACACTAGCACAGGGGTTACAAATCAGCCCTGGCGAGGGCTTACTCCATTTATGATGGACGCTAATGAAAATAAGTTTAAGCTCCTGAAAAATCATGAGGATATCTTTGAGCTGGTAGCTAAAGTCGAAATAAACACTTCGTATGAAGAAAAAGATGATCAGACTCAAAAAGGGGGAAATGTTCATTCAATACAGCAAGTGACCAAACTTCTCAGCCTACAAGAAGGGAAAAAGATGTTTCAATACTAAGGCAAATGGAATTGCATGCTAACAGCACAGAATTACACAAAGATGGAGATGGGGGAAAGGCAAGACATGAACATGTGTCCCCTGAATCAACAAAGCCACCCGAAGAAATTTCAATTGGGCCAAGTCGTCACTAAAAATCCTGTAAATAAACAAATGCCACTTTCTTTAAAGAAATGGCAGAAAAGATTCGTAAGAACCCAAAAAAATATTATGGCAAATTAGAGATTGTACATATGATTGATACAGGTGGACAGCCAGAATGTCTGGAAATCATGCCTTTCTTGATTCACAATGCGCATCTCATACTTTTGGTGGTAGACCTGTCAGTATCTCTTGATGAATGTACAATACCTACTTTTCATAAAGATGACCATGGCCTTTTAAGAAAAAGAGTCTACTTACTTGCAATAGAGAACTTATTCAGCAACTTGCCCAAACTCTTGTGGCAGCACAAGGTGAGGGAAACGACACTAACCCAAGCATCTTTGTTATTGCTACTCATAAAGACAAGGTTAAAGATGAAGAAAAACTCAAAACACTTAAAAAAGAATTAAACACTTTGGTAATGGAAATTCTTCCTAGTAACTCAGTGTACACCAAAGCAAAAGGTATGAGTGTGTTTGATATAAATTTACTTGATCCTGACGCAGATACTCTACGTGCAATACGTGAAACAGTTACACAAGAAATGAAGGAGATGAAGGAGCTTGATGTTCCTTTGTCATATGTTATGTTTGAAAGGGAAGCCATGGTTCACATGAAGGAATTAAAAAGAACGGTTAAGGTTTTAAAACTGGAAGAATGTTTTGACTTAGGAAGAAGACTAAAAATGAACGAGGATGCTGTTAAAAATGCTCTGAAATACTTCAATAAGAATAACATCATGTTGTTTTTCGAAGAAATAGGCGAAGGGCTTGTAATTCTGGATCATAGCACCCTCATTGACTTCGTCAATACTGTTATATTCTTCAGCTATGAGGCTGCAAATGGAGAAAAAGGTCAAATAATTAAAGCTAATGAGAGAGATTCTCTTAGCAAAGGATTGATTACAGAAGCAATTTTAAAAAGAATGCAACATATATTTGTTCCTGAAATATTTGAAGCTTGTCATGCTATTAAAGTCTTTGAAAATCTCTATATCATTGCTAAGAATTCGGAAAAGGAAAATGACTATATCATGATGTGCTTGCTTCCACGATTATCTGTGAAGGAGTTAGAGTCAAGAAAGCTGGTTTTCACAACGTGTGATCCAGTGGAGCCACTAAGACTGCACTTTGGCATTGGTGATCCCCCTGAATGGCAACAATACTGCTCTCCCCAGTGGTTGTTTTGGCAGCACTATTGCTTGCCTCATTACCGACTTTCAATTGGAGAATATGTACTGATGTTTTATATGACAAAGCTCCTGTATGCCTTTATCATGACATGGCTATACTTTGTCCGAAAGAACTAAGCTTAGAAGTAACTCTTGTCAACAAGACCAAGTATTTTGAGGTCTATGTAGGTGTAGATCCAGAGAATGGAGATGAATATAAGGAGCTTCCTGCAATTAGAAGTGAAATAAAAGAAGCAGTTGGAAAGGTTTTAAAAACAATGAAGGTTAACCTCAGTGTTGCAGAAGGGTTTGAGTGTGACTGTGAGAACACCAAATACCTTAAAAGAGATTATGCTACGTGCAGGTGTGGCCTGAAGGAGGAATCTGAAAGTCTTTGGATTAAAGCTGAACCAGGTATGTTCCATATAACTATTGATGGATGCTGAATTCTAGGGACGTAGATAAATTCAGAAACCCAAAAGCAAAGCTGTGATGTACCGAGCACACTACATTGGCAGAGTTTATGTAGGTTCCGAGCATTCCAGCATGTTACCTATATAGTGCAGTGCATGTGCACAAAGCGTCAGCTTCCATCATCATGACTTACAACACGGCAGCATGCATGAAAACCAAACGTTTCTTACCATGTGCATTATTCTAAACAAGTTAGCTACTGCGCAGAATTATAAACATGAAGTACTTTTTGACTAGACTACTTAGCTCTGTAGAGTGTATTGTTGATATATCCTATCCGGTCTCCTTTTAGCATTAATGAAGTACCCGGCTGAGGCACAGAACCAAGGAGGAGGTACGTGAAAACTACGAGGTGGAAAGTCAAAAGCAGAACAAATAAGTCAACTACACCCAGGACAGCTCTTATTTTTCCAAGGAAAAAGAAGAGCTGCCCTAGGTGGGATTCTAGCCCACGACACTCTGCAGTCTAGGCGAGTGCTCTGTATACCACCTGAGCTACCAGGGCGACATGTACTGCAGTATGTTTGGTTACAATGACTTCGTTGTTATTATTTATTCCAGGACCAGTATGCATGCGTCAGTTTAAAAAACTAGCAACACATAATGGGGATGTAAGGATTGTGGAGGAAAGTGCAGAGCGCTATAAAGACATTGGAACCAAGCTACTTACTACTGCGTTGGTTGACTCAATATCAGAAGTAGCAAATGAAGACCCCAAAAAAGCAATAAGACTGATATACAAAAGATGGATACGTACAGACGAAGGTCACTCGTGGGGAAAACTAACACAAAGTTTCAAAGATGTTGGGCTTCATTCTCTTGCCCGGGACCTTGAAGAACACTTTGGGCTTCCTTCAC